CTTTCAAGATAATTAAAGGAATAGATAATGTCGAGTGTGGTAGGTTTTTCCAGTTTGATGACAGCAAGAGAACGAGAGGTAACCGACTTAAGTTGCGCAAACCGCAGGTGCGGCTCAGGTCGAGACAGGAATTCTTTACTTGCAGAGTGGTGAACGCGTGGAATGCGTTAGATGACGAAGTAGTGGCTGCCCCTTCTGTGACTATCTTTAAGAAGAAACTAGATGCTTTCATGGACAGGCAAAAAGGTGGGGGGCAATGTTGACGTAGGTACTAGACAGTAAGCAACTAGGATAGTAAAGAAAAAAAAAATACAAAAATATTTAGCTTTAAGAGGGTTAGGCCTACCCTAAAATTAAGGAACGCTCGACCTCGACACGTGATATCGAAATGGGCGAAATCGCCTCTTGATATCACTAACTCTCCTGACCTCGCTTATATTCTGGAAACTTTATACTCATTGAATGAACTGCTAGATGTCAGGCTAGATGGAGGGTCTCAACGGGGCGGGGACTCCATCCAAGTACATCCAATGAGTATAAAGTTTCCAGAATATAAGCGAGGTCAGGAGAGTAAACGCAGAGAAAATTCAGGAAGCAGCCACAACCATCTCCGGAGTTGAATGCCCGTCCGTGATTGGCTCTCCTAAATAATGCCATGCATTGTTCCAAATCCCTTGGGCGGGGTCGTTCATAAAAAGGCTGAAAAGATGTTGAATTGTAATTTTAGTTATGATTCATAGAAAAAAAGGAAACCAAAGTTTTCTTTGAGGGTGTTTTCAACCTGACACACTTACCGCGATACATTTATTCATCTAACGGAAAAAATACTTATTAATCAAATAGCCCAACCTAATTTAGGGTCAACTTGAATTTAATGTCATATTCAAGGACAGAGAATCCCTTGTATGTTGATGTGCAAAAGAACTGTCCCTCTCTCTATATAGCCGATCAGCAGATGAGAAAAACAGATTTCTGCCGCTTTTCCCGCCAAACTTCTGCAATGGAAATTGCTCTTCTTTCGTTTTCATTTTAACCGATATTCCCAAGTGTTAGATGCAAAAGTTCTGTTATTTGTACTTTAAGTCGCAGCAAAATTCTTTTCAGAGTAATGTGTTACCTGGAGAAATTAGAAAAAACGTTCACTACCTTGTGTCCCTCTCAAAAATCGCTCGAGAGAAACAAACTGGATAAGGGTTAACATCTCAGATGCCACCAGCCAATCACCCTGGATCAAAGGTTCACTATGCACCTCACCAAAAGTAATTTTGAGGCAGGTTTTTTAATATTATTTTGTATGTGGATTTAATAAAAAATACGTGTCTTTTCCGAATTACAAAAACCTTTAGGCTGTGGCACATAGAATTACAAAATCTTGAAATGGTTTGGTGAAATCCATTCGGGACGAATGAATTCAACAGATGATCCTCCCTCAGGCCGACAAGTTTCAGTGACTCTCGACTTGGTGGACCTCATTTGATAGATACTCTAGGAAGACCTTCGTTCTCGTTACGCGGATAACCAGGAGACTCAGGGCATTGTGTCTAAAATCGTCAATGTTATCCTCTACAAAGAGCTTTCAGCAAAGAATATTGACATTCGTTAGATGCTTCACCAAGATATTGGAGCTCAGAAGCTAGAGAGAGTCAATTAGTTAAGATTATGGTAAGGTCATTCGGGGTACTTGTGAACAGTCCTAATTTTTAGTACTTACAAAGTACAATATGCCATAAACGAAGTAGGCACTAAGAAGTACTCTGTCATGCTAATCCAGGTTAGTACATCTCGTCAAATTTCATTTGATCAACTGAGAGATATTTCACTGAATATGAGAGTACCCTCTTTAGACTCTAGTACTTAATTCGGAGCACCTCGTTTAACTTTCCTTGTATGATCAGCACTGCAAAATAAAATTTCATTTTTTGCATCATGGCAAAGTAGATTTCATGCTCTTTCCAACGAGTGTCTTTCGGAGTTCCATTCATGCTAAGCTTGGGCACAGGAAGACTGATCATACGTACCCAGTAAAATTTGGCGTCGGGGTAATTGTGATCATTCGAACTCTTTCTCCGGCCTTCACGTCTTGTTCATTCGTAGGCTTCACTTAGAGACTTAAAAACTCAACTAGGCCCCTGAAGCTAAAGCTACTCCTTCTTGCTAGAAGTTCATTGCCTGACGGACACATTGTGCCATTCATACAAGGAACTTCTGGCTCAAAAAATGGTCTTCGACCTATCCTCACTGGGTCTCGAAATTGAGCTACATCTGAATTATTAATAAGCGTCTATTGTATTAAATAGCTTGGATGATAGAATGGTCTTAAAACTTGCAACGCCTCCGTCAGTTTGACATACGTATTCCATTCAATAAACAGGTAATTGGAGACGTACATAATTCCTATTAATTACAATTTTTTTAACTGGCTGAAAGAGGGTGGGGTAAAATGTGACCACTAAAATAAATCTAGTGTCAGGAAAAAATTCAACCAATTTTTACCCTAGAAATAAATGAATATGGTAGAGATGGGTTTGTTAGCAAACAAAATATAAATAAAATGTCTGCTTCCATTATCTGCCAAGTCCCCCAGCCAATGTCTGTTCCGTTCATTTAAACGGTATATTTATTACATATCAATATTATTTCGATAGAGAGAGCAAGTAAGGGCACATCCGATCATCAGAAAAAATTATTTCAGCATAGAAATTCTGTTTAATATGTCTAAAATGTGACTGCCGCTTCATCAGTACCACTTGGCTCAAGTACCATTATACGATTATCGCATTTTCCCTCTTCAAAATCATGGTCACCCAGAATGGGGTATTGGCATTGGTTTGATCACTGATATGGCTGATGTAAGAGAAACCGCATAAAAGTCTAAAGTAGTGGTCTACATGTCTAATTTAATCAAATGTGAATTTTATCAGCCAGTAATTTTATATTTATAGCACAATATGCAATCAAGAAAGTATGATTTAAAGTCTACCTTGCTAGACCTGCCTTGCATATTCAGGTAAATTCCATTACTGCAACTGAGAGATGGCAGTGTTATGTTGCAATGGAATTTAAATTAATTGAAAAATGCTTTTTAAGCATTTCTAGCATTACATTTTTGCATTTCAAGCAAATAAATAAGCAATATTCAGTAAATATTTAGTATTTGAATTTTTAAATACCCCAAGGCAAGTATTCCGTATTTGCATGTGCTACTAAAGATTCAAAATGCTTGAATTAATTTGTACTTCCAAGATTCAAGATTCAAGATAGTGATATCAAGAGGCGATTTCACCCATTTCGATATCACGTGTCGAGGTCGAGCGTTCTACGGGTTGAGTGGAAAAAAAGTACGAACTACATTGCATAGCAAATGCGAAGAACATTTAAATCTCCCAAACAGAAAAGATTATTTCCAGAAAAATATAAGTGCCTATGTTACACATACAGAAACACCGAAACACTCTTAGATGAACATTAGCGATGAATGCTGAAAGGGGGGCATGCTGAAAAATCTCACACTGCTCAAGGGATTGGACTATATTGTTCATGTCGTCAAGTATATGACATGAACGTTGCTTCAATCCAATCCTTCTTCTAGAATTGTCATGCTAAAATTGTTCTCCAGTAAATTCAAGATCTCCTTCCCGAAACGATCTTCATCTTCTTCTGAAAGACCTTCCCGAAAGTATTTGTGAACGAAGGAAATTACCTTCGACCAAGAAAGAGGATTGGAGAATTCGGAGACTATTCGTTCCCAAACGAGGGACCTGAGTCTGATGTTGAACATATAGCATGTACTCCTTGTTCTCTCTAGATNTCGTCCACTATTCCACGGTGTCTCGATGGTTCAAACGCTTGGAATCTGGCGACACGACCTTCGGAGATCGACCACGTTATAACATTTTGAAAAATTTGCGCAGAGTGTTGCAAGACTTTCTTTCCAACCCAATATATTTATTTCTTACGTCGCTTCACTCTCTTGCAGAGCATTAGAATTCCCTAATAATCCAGGTCTTGCCCCTTGCGACCTTTATTTATTCCTAATGATTAAGGAAGGATGGGTCGATGATAAGATATGATAACGGCCCGACCTCCTTCATTGATACAAACTACAGTTTTCTCTTGGGACATAAAAGTATGTTTCTAACAAGTGTTTCGGAGGAATAAAAGTTTTAGAGATGTGGAAGGGGCATGCTTTTAGAGCTATCATAACCACTTCTTTCATTTGATATGACTGTTGATGGCTATATAATGTGCCAACGATCATTCTGGATTTCCCTTGTACTTGTGAAATTACTTATTGATGAATGTCTAGATTTTCTCTTTTTCTTATAGATGTTTGTTATTTGGTTTAAACAAGTTCCTTCACTGTGTGCTAGGACTCACTTAGATTGTTCGACTCCTCCCGAGCTGATGTATTGGGGGCGACCTGAAATTTCAGAAATACAATTACTTGATCATATATATGTTACTGAGGAATGGCGAAACGAGATAGGAAATACAGAGTTCATGATACAAATCACTGAAATCACACCAGTAGGACAATATTAATGTGAGTAGGCCTACGACCGTTTAAATTCAATATCTCACCGTCTAAGTCAAGAGCCCGATCAATCCTGGATGGTCTCAGTTTCCTTGGTCTGGACTTTCTGAATAGAAAGACAATCAGGAACGAAGGAGGGAAGATTATGAGATTTGCCATCATCCCCACGCCAATCTGAAAAAAAGTAAGGGCATATCATCGTTATATGTTCTATGGTCTCGGAGAGTACATGGTTATCTCTGGACTGGTCATTTAGATATGATGACACCAACTGATATCTTGAGCTCTTATTTCATTGTAAATTCCACAGACGATAGAGAGGCTCTGCACAGGAAGCCCATTACAAGTGGAACATGAAGATTGAGGATGAATGGGATTGGCATTCTCTAAGCAAGGGTTGCTCTATTCCTACTGAGTAATTACACAGAAAATCGACTAGCGAGTGTGCTCGATCATCACGGATTTGGACGAAAATCGGCCTACACGTAGAGGAATCGATTTACAAAACCCTTTTCAGCATTTTTTTATTGTTATCTCACACAGATCTCCATATATATGTATTTTAATGTGACTTACTTTTCGCTCCCAGCGCCCATATGGACTGGAAGTGAGAAACTGGTTCAGCAATAACTTCTCAAGATTCAAGTTTCAAGATATCAAGAGGCGATTTCACCCATTTCGATATCACGTGTCGAGGTCTAGCGTTCCTTAATTTTAGGGTAGGCTCTTAAAACTATATATTTTTGTATTTTTTTTTGTTATTTGACTATCCTAGCTGCTTACTGTCTAGTACCTAACGTCAACATCGTCCCCCACCTTTTTGCCTGTCCATGAAAGCATCCAGTTTCTTCTTAAAGATATTCACAGAAGGGGCAGCCACTACTTCGTCATCTAACGCATTCCACGCGTTCACCACTCTGCAAGTAAAGAATTCCTGTCTCGACCTGAGCCGCACCTGCGGTTTGCGCAACTTAAGTCGGTTACCTCTCGTTCTCTTGCTGCCATCAAACTGGAAAAACCTACCACACTCGACATTATCTATTCCTTTAATTATCTTGAAAGCCTGGATGAGATC